TGTGGTGATTTTAAGGATCCAGCACTGACCTAAAAGTTGATGACTGCTCGTCCAATCACACTGACCGATACAACCACTTCTATTAAATTAGCCTCTAGATGCCAATTCAAACCCTTTAATACTTAAGTATTTCATTTCCTTTTCCTGGACTACAGGGCTGCCATCCCTGAGGATCGAAATCATTGGGAACAATTAGGCTACACAAGCTGGGTATGTGTGTAACATTTTTTTCTATCATTGCCTCTTCATAGGCTACCGATAATCGTTGTGGGCTCCATCGCTGTTGACAGTTAGTGTAAACATGTAAAAGGTTGTTGTTGTTTTTTTTGGTGAGATTTTCGGCCCCGCTGTCTCTTTAAAGGCCGCACCTGCGCAGCTGCCTGGTGCTGATGCTGCAGTGCCCGGGTTATTTTCGGTAAAACTGCCGGGGTTACTCGCGTTCAAGCGGGCCCTACATGCCTTACATCACCCCTGAGAGGAAACCAAGACCATTTATAGCCAATCGCACCTGCCTCTTAATCAGACCGAATTAAAAGCGAGCACTCGTGTCGCAGCTTGAGCATTAATTCATGCAGCACAGAAACCCATCTCTCCCTCTGTCTGCTCCTCTGTGCGTGAGCAGCAGTCTCCCTATTGTTGTTCATGTTTTCAACCTGGACCATTCCTCCAGACACTCAGACATGGAGACTAATCTAAACCTGGATCCATTACCCTGATTGCAATGCTGTAAATTAGCAGCTCTTTGGTGCCAGACATACAGGCTGTCCCTCCTCTCATTGTAATATTAGGATTATTTTCAGACCTGCACAAGTAACATTTAAACATCTTTTTAGATTTTATGAATATAGGCTAACTAAGTTAATGCACGATAATTTTGCATTTTCATTTTTATAGAATACATTTATACTAGTACATATCTCTAAATGTATATCTGTGTATATGGGATGTGTATGTGCCTATATTCATCATACATAGGCTATAGATATGCTGCATCATGTTTTCTAATACATTTTTCAGTGCACAGGCTAAATGCATAGGAATGATCTATTTATTATTAATGCGTTCCTTTTGAAACATTGTCAGAACATCTTTCACTTGATTGTCCTTGTCTTTTGCTGTGAGCTGTTTTAATAAAAGCCTATTTTATCCTAACACAACCTTGGTGTGAAGAAGACAAGCCATTTTTCCAAATTTAAAAGAAATCATTGTGTTTCCAGTGAACGTGTCGCAAGGCCATTTTCAGACAGCGAGTCCCTACCTCGATCTATTATTCTCCTTTAAAGGTCTAATCCTTGTTGCATAATGTGATATTTTCCTCGACCTTTCTCCCATTCTCTGTAGAATATTACTTTGCATACATAAATTATCTAACGATAGCTGCTGCTCTCATTCATGCCTTCTGGGAGACCACGAGACAGATCATCAATCAACTGACTGATCATTACATCACTGTAGAGGAAACAGTGTTTCCCTATTAGCACTACACTGTCACATGTGTGAGGTCAGAGCAAATACACATGTTGTTTTCAGTGTATGAGTGTGCATATTTAAACACCACTAAAAGCTGCAGTACAGGTGTTCTTTGCTCTCAGATGAGGGTAAGGCACAAGTGCTGTTAATAGCATGAGATATGTAGCATACATAACGGTACATAGACCAGCTTTTCTCCTCTCATTGGGTTTTAAACTTTGACTCAATGAGCTCTGATAAAACCAACCTATATTTAACTAAATATAAGAATATTACCTTTAAAAATCACCTTGTGTATGCATCGTGCAAAAGTTGAATAAAACAGAAGATAACATGGCGTTAATGTGCAGAGATTCTTTCTGTCAGACTGGCTGTGTGGGGAATAACATCAATCCTGAGTTCTACTAAAGCTCTGCGGTGGAGGAAGGGGGGCTGCTGGGTGCTCCGATGAGACCATAGGAAACACAGCAGGACTTCAAGTACGTTTCTTTGTCATTTGATTATTTAATTTTGTATTGTGTAATGCATAAAAAATAAGCCCAAACAGACTCTCACCATCAGTGAGACAAAGAGACCAGAAACCAAACGTTGACACTCAAAAGTACAATAATATTAAAGCTCCTGTGAGGAGTTTTGAACTGGTGAGGAAACAGACAGAACTTAATTCTAAATGCCTCTTTACGATGTATATAAGCACTCTAGACATCTGCAACGAGATTGATTTATAGAACCAGTTATTTACAATGTCTGAAACTGCGGTGACGGGGTAAGTGTTGGATAAAGTGATCCACTTCAGGCTGTAGAATCAGCAATGTGTAAGACATTTGATGCTTAATAGAAAAAAGGATGAATTTTTTGGAAAATATAAAAATACTTCTTCAAAATCAGCTCAGACTGCACTAACACTTGCACTAATGGAGACATCTCAGAGTGAGGCGCACTTGAAAGAGCGCAGGGACAATGCAAAGAAAAGGATTCTTTCTCAACGTCTTCTAATTCACACAATCTGTGATCCTCCTGGATGTTATAAATCTGACGACTTCAAGAATCAGAGAAAGAATTCTCAGCTAAGCTACCAAAGATGTTTAATGTCTTGTTAACTTTACTAAAAACACAAGGTTATTTATAGCATTTATTTATATTTATTGCATCCCATTAATCCAGCCATCCAGATTTACCTAATAATTCACTTTTTTTGTCTACATCTGTAAATTTTGCAATTACTGTACATAGCACAGAATTACTGTACATAGCACAGACTTTTGCACTCAATTACTGTACATAGCACAGACTTTTGCACTCAATTACTGTACATAGCACAGACTCTTGCACTTTCTGCTTATTTGCACTTCTGGTGAGATGCCAAACCTCATTTCGTTACTCTATACTTGTATATGTGTAATGACAATAAAGTTGAATCTCATCTCATCTTAAGTATATAAATGGGCTTGACTTGGACATATGTCAGTAATTTTGGTTTTAACAAGATATTTAACCCTTTTTCTCAAATCCAAACAATGACTTCTGCTAATTGTCTTCGCGCTGCATGGTAAATCATTCCAATAGATGTATTGTTGTGTATTGTTATTCAGCCTCCCCAGAAACATTATGAAGCTCTGCAATCCAAAATTGATTTAAGACTCTTGCTGAAGCACACTTACATTTAATCTCCGCACCGTAAAATGTCAGGGGCTGATAGCCCATCAAATGTTTGAAATCTGATATGAATTTTGCAAATATCTTCATTTTAATTTCTATCATTTTGAATAAAGATGAATAATCATTACAATGTTTTTCAGTTTTTAGTTACTTAAGTATTAAATTAATAATTCTACTGTAATGATGTAAGCATACTTACTAACTTTAACCTCAGGTACAGCTGATCTGTGGGAGGCAGGATTACACAAGTGAGAATACTAATAATAATGGAAACTGTATGATGATGACATGCAAAATGCAAAAACAGCATATTGTCCTAAAAATACTTGGTGGTGTAAAACACATTCTACTTATTGTAGTCAACAAAAATCTAATGTATAGAAAAGTATTTCCTGCTGTTCAGTGAAATTAGTTTTTTAGCAGGAGCATTAAACACTTCACTACATTTCACAATCTCTTCAGGAGCTGAGCACCCCTAAAGGTCTAAACCTGCACCTAATGGGAATTCTGCAATTTACTCAAAAAAAACAAACAACTATTTATTTATCCTACATCAGACATATTGAGAAACAAACACCAGCAACACCATCCATGGCTTCTTCTTCTTTCCAATAAGAATGCAAACAAGGGCATTTTTACGGTAGCTTCAAGTCCTGACTCAGTGGCTTTTCCCGGGTTCACATGGACCCAGCATTTTGCTTGTTTTCCCCGTAGAATATGAATGGAGAAGCAGGAAGTGAGCGTAAGCAGACGTACTGGGAGATCCTGTCTGAGAGCTCAGGAGAGAACAGCAGGCCGTGTGTGGGTGAGTTTCCTCCCCAGAGTTGAACGCCGCAGATAAGAGGAAGACTTAATGAGCTGTAATGAAGCAGGAGAATTGACTGTTCTTTCACTTACTGCCAGATGTCCCTGTGTGAGATTATTCTTAATTTTTTATTGTTGTGATGACTCACGCTGTGTCTGAAATACAGTTGGTGAGATCTCTGCAGCTCCTGAAGTTGGTTATTTAAAGTGTGCTTCTTTGGAATCTGGAATATAGTGAATGGATGAATTGTGATATGTTATTCTCTTGTTACTACTACCATTACAAAACCTACTCAACTGTGTCTGAATGAGTCTGTGTTTGTGGAAATGAACAAAATCAAAGCGTTTCCGATCCAAACTTTGTAAGTGTCCATTTTTACACAAGACTTGGCTGCTATAAACGTAAACAAAGGATCACACTATCAACAGACTCGACTTGAATAGTATAGACCAGATTGTAAAAGGATAAGAGAAGAGCAGAATAGAATAGAGTGAAATAAAACTGAATCAAACAGAAAGAAAGGGGTGCAATGGATTGGAAAAGAAAATAATATAAAGTAAATTAAAAAAGAAAACACACTCACCGTCAGTAACTTGTAGGGGTGCTGAATGTCCAAACAAAAACTGTATCAAAAGTATTTCAGGACGACTTTCTCTAGCCATCGTGTGTGGAGATAAAAAGAGAAAGATGATGTGCTGTCCTGAAATACTTTCAATAGAATAGAATATAAAAGAATAGCATAACAACAGCATAAATTGAATTTATTAAAATTGAGTGGAATAATATACAATAGAATAGTATAAAATGAAATAGAATGGAAAATAACAACATAGAATGAAATAGAGTAGAACAGAATAGAACACCATAGCATAAAATAGAATTTACTAGAATAGAAAAATAAATGAGTAGAATAGAGTTGAATATAATAGAACATAATGAAACAAAATGCTCTATTGATATTGCACAGATGTACAACAAATTGAAAGTTTCAACAATCTTGAGTTTCTCTTCAGGATGATTTTTTTTACTGGATTCTGTCTTTATTTTGTAAATCCTGTAGAGTGCAAATCAACGCTGTGACCTGATTTCTGAGAATAAACAGCACCATCTAGTGGCTAACAGGAGCAGTTTATCAACCCACAGCTGTTAGGAATATAAAAACATCAAACAAAAGTCTTTGAGTTATTTTTAAATCACTTTGGACTTGGATATAGATGGGGCGTTAGGATTGCATGAAATTAGAATTTAGCAGACCACACCAACAATATAATAAGACATGTCAGGCTGTGTACTAACCACTGAGAGAGTTTTATATACAACATCTGAGAGTGACAACATTTGTCAGCTCAGGGCAACTTAAAATCTGATGAGAAATGTGCCACAGATTATTTTCTCAATTGTTAAATCGTCCATAGATTCTGCAAAGACTTGTAAGAAAACAAAGGATGAGAATCGTAGAGGCTGTTTACTGCTGAGATCAGCATGTGGATGCTTCGACTTCCGATAGGCCAACAACTGTTCCTTGTATTCCTTTGAAATGCACGAGTCATCATTTCACATTTGAACAATCCCTCAGTAAAAAAATGAATATTTGAATTATCAACAATTTTTTTTTTGTTTGAACAATAATTTAAATATTAGAAAGCAAACACTGTATTCTACCTGTACAGTTCACTCAGCTGATAGGACCTTCACAACACTTAAAGATTTAACTGCGTCTCAAAACCCAAAGCTCCTCCCTCGTAACAGGATTAAGGTTTCATCTCCTTCCAGTGCAGATGGACTGAGACGAGGAGTCACGAAGCAGAGCGGTTAATCTCTGCGGTTTCACTTCACCTCTTTCCTGGTTTTTATCTTTATTTCTTCCTTTCTGTTACAGATGCAAACATGTCACACAGAGCATGTCAGATAATCCATGTCAACACTCCTCTTTGAACCATCATTCAAAGAATCTAAAACTTGACCTAAGGCTGACACAGAGGGTTATTAACTGATTTAACTTTTTCCGCCTTAAATCGTTGAGTTCATTTCAAAGTTCTGCCTCATTAATCATTCCCTGCTGACGCAGAAGGATTTGAACCTGAGGCACTGAAATGTTCTTGTCTTTGTGTAAAATCCAAGAAACCAAGGAGTCATTGTCGGCCAGAGTGATTAAATTAATGACTTAAAAAATCCATATTTTTTCCACTGATTTGTCGGCAGTTGGAAGAAGCAGCAAAACATATAGTGTCTCTTCAGTGTACAAGCTGTCTGTGTATTTCTTCTTCATTCAATAATATCACCGTACAGTCAACATGTTGTTTTCCCCATGTGTTAGCCTGCAGATGCTTACAAAATATGAAGACAAATGTGTTTTTAAAAGCGTCATTTCACCAAATTCTAGTGCATTACACTGAGAGAGAAAATTGCAGGGTGGGGGGACGGGGGGGACAGGGGGGACGGGGACTGTGGGGCAAAATACTCACCACATGATAAAGCGCAGTCACAAATGCAAGGGACACACTGCGCAAAGAAACGCTTCCAGCCCGTCTGCTTCTTCTCACAGTTGTCTATCCGAGAGCAGCCTTGTTTTGGGGGGCCGAAGTAACTCTTATTAGTGCAGTTGGAGTTACATGAACCACTTAATTCCCTTTCACTGATTTCAATACGTCCCTGAGGACACATTCCTGAAGAGAAATCACATGATGAACACAAACAGTGTCTGGTATGAGAAGATCTTTGTGTTGTCGTTTGTCAGGGTTAACTCACTGAGGCAGGTAGGTTTCGGGGTCCAGAGGCCGCTAGCCTGACAAGTACTGGTTGGATTTCCCAAAAGCATGAAGCCGGAGCGACAGGTGTACCTGACCACAGAGCCCACCCACCAGTCGTTACCGTATATTGCTCCATTATAGTCCACATCTGGCCTTCCACAGTTAACTGCCGTACAAGGAGGAGACAAAACGCTCTGTAACAGGTTGATCTGACACAGTGAGAGTGCTCGAACATCTGAGAGGTGCTGTTGTTGTGGAGGTCTTACCTCTGCACAGGGACTTGTATCCGAGCCAGCAGCAGCTCGAGTCTCCACAAGGATCTCTCCTCAGCTCCTTGTGCCGCCCCTTACAGCCGCCCACACAAACGGGGGCCGTGCCAGTCCAATAGATGTCATCGATGAAATTTGGCTGAGGCATCCATTCTGTCACGCCTAAAGTAAATCATTTTTTAGTATTCTTCTTCCTAGATCACATTACAAACATTCTGCAACAAATAACACATTTCTAACTGGAAAAAGTTTTTAGGGTTTGAGTCCATGATAAAGAAAATGTGTGATATGGGAATCTATAACTGCTCCCCGAGTGAATGAGGAAATTAATTTGAAAAAAAATCATTAAAACAATCTTATTTGTAAGAGGTCTTACCACTACCTTCTGCCTCCTCGTTCCATCCAGGCGACTGAGAAATGGCTCTTTGCAAACAGCCAAACAGCAGCAGCAGCAGTAGAAACAACTTCATGGTGCCACACTCCTGATGCATTCACTTTGTACGAAACACCTGCTGGAGAATCTGTGAACAGAGACCTACCGTATTCTACACATTATCTCTGCACAGTCAACAGGCATGACGCCATGAGATGTTGCCCCAGTGAGTGCAGGATGAAGAATCAAAGAGCAGGAAGTAACGCTAGGGACTAATCTTCCTGTGCTGCCTAATCTTCTACACACAGGTAATGCTCACTATGCTGTGTGTGTGAAGCTGGGACTGGATTCACTCATTATGTCAAAAGGTCTGCAGGGATTTAAGTCTCTGGATCACCTGAGGCATTCAGAGGATCAAGACATTAGAGAAAAACATATACAGAAATAAAACCATTCAGTTTAACAGATGACAAATGTCTGTCAGATTAATGTCTGTTCTAGTAGTAACAAATAACATCCAGCAGAGGGCGCCACATCTTAGGTACAAATTGTGGACATCAATAGTTTCACCGTTAAATGTTGGGAAAATAATCAAAAGATGCTTTTCTTTCTCAGCGACTTATAAAGAGACAGACTGTTCATATTTTAAGATAACATTGAAAACATGTCAATAAGTTACAGAAGACTTCTTCTGAGTTTTAAAAAAAGAAGGAGTTTATTCAAGTTGGAAATTAATCTTCAAAAAGCACACTCTCAGAGGTAGGCTTTCCTCGCTGGTCTCCACATGTTGGTGAATATTCAACTATCCTTTCAGATGCTGTGGCAGTCCAAGGGTGTAACAGTATGAGATACAATGAATGGATGGAAAATGTTTTAAATATGGCACACAGGATGTCTACAACTCAACAGCAGTAAACAGTAAACATGGTAAAAAAAAAAGAAAGATGTTTCACCTAATATAGGCTCATAGTCAATGTTCATCACCACAGAGCACTCATAACTTGATTAAGACTTTTCATTTAAGTGCCTCTCTTTTCTAATGAAAATCTGATTTCTGCACAGCTCTTATAAAGGCTTAGGGGCACAACATAATCCTCTTCACATTGTTCTTCTAGCTGTAAAAATGCACTGTGCAGGATTGTTTGGGGAAGTCAAACCACCTGCATTCCTTGCTGCTGAGCAGAATCTTGCATGGCAGAGTCCTCCGCTCCAGTGAGAAAGTAAAACATCTGCTCCTCGGCGCTGGATGGCTCCTCAGTCCTCTGCTCCTCCAGCAGCACTCCTCTTAGTTCTTCCTGTAGCTCTGAAGGAGCTCCCCCCAAGTCCCCGCCCTCCATCTCCTGACCCTCAGCCTGCCCGCTGTCCTCGTCGTCCTCAGCTTGCCTGTTTTGTCGTTCCCTCATCAGTTGCTCCGTCAGTTCCACGCTCTCGTAGCGGATCAGCTGCAGCCGAAAGAAGCCGTCCTCGTGCTTCTTGTACCTGACAGAGAAATAAAGAAAGCCATCAGGACTGCGACGCCTCCTCATAACTGGATTGAATGATTTGTCAATTTAATATGTACCTGAATCTCGGGTGCCCAGAAGGCCATTTGAACTGGTGCTTTTTGTGCAGATGAACAGTTAGGTTGTTGCCCCGGGTGAAGCACTGATCACAAACATGGCACTTGTAGCAAGGCACAAAATTCCCCTGATCACAGAGAGAGGAAACATTATAGTGTTTTTTTAATACATTTAAACCTCCCTCTTAAGATGAAATCAAGACTGCCATAGATTGTGTTTGTCACCTCATGCTCTCTCTTGTGGTGAATCTTCATGGTGATGAGTGTGCGAGCGGTGAAGCCACAGGCGGGGACATCACAGCGAAAAGCCGGCTCGCTGCTGTGGGTGTCCAGGTGTTTTCGCAGGTCGACCAGATTCTTGCAGCTGTGGAAGTCAAATTTAAAAAAAAAAAAGCATTAGGAAAAAACAATTATGAGAACATGTTTTTTCTGGGGCATTGCATCAGTTCAGAGTATGTGATACCTGTATTCACAGTATTCACAGCTATACGGTTTCTCGTTGCTGTGGCGGAACTTGATATGGTTACGCAGCGCAGAGGGTGATGGACAGGTCATGTCACACAGCGGACATTTGTAGTGGCTCACTATCCCAACAAGAAAAAAAGACAAAAAAAAAGTGATGAGTGTAAATTATCTTAGTGGATTAGTGCCTCACTCTCATAAAAACCACAAAGGCCCACTTGTACTTATGCTTGTGTCAAGCCGAAGAAATCCTAATTTCAAAACATAACAATGTCACAACAGAGCCACATATATTTCATATCAAAACTCCATTCCATCTGCGGACCTTCTTTCACCTTTAAGAAAAAGCCAAAGACCCAGCTCTTTCATGAATACCTACTAACTTAATGATGATGGTCTCCATATTATTGATGATGATGATGATGATTGTTTTTGTTGGATAACGACGACTTATAAGATGGTTTCTATACTGATTAGAGCTCTCAAGAACTGCCCTCAATGTTGTGCTTTGCCTCTGGTCACTTCCTGTCAGCACCTGTGTGTCCAATCAGACTCAAAGCTGATCGTTTGCTCTTACTGACATTGTTCCCTTTTTTTCTAGATCCTTGCTTGTGTTGTTCTTACTCTCTGATGTACGTTGCTTTGGATAAAAGCGTCTGCCAAGTGAATTGTAGAATATATCACACAGTTATTTACAGGGTTCTGGAGAGCTGAGGCTTACTCATTTTAAATTCATGTGAATACACTTGCAAAACGTCAGGTGGCAGTGTTTGGCTTGGAAGTGGTTATGATCAAAATAAAACTCAAACTTAGTAAAGGAATATTTTATTCCACAGTAAATGTGATGACATACTCAGTATATCATATATGTACCAGCCTTTAAGTCTAATTTTAAACGGATATAAATAGAAAACCTACTGGTAAGAAAAAGTTTAAAACATGCATTGGATGTAACAACAGAATAAAATAGATGTTTATTGCCATTTGCACAGGTACAGGACAGTACAGGTACATTGGAGTTTTTGCGTTTCTCCCTGAGTCAGCTTCTACAAAAAAGTTAAAATTACATAAAATAGAATAGCATTGTAAGAAAAAAAGAGTAGAAAAGTACAAATAAAAAAATAAAATAAAAAATAAGTTGTAGTAACAGCTAAGTAAATTAAAATAAATTGTAAAGAGGCTATACACTGTAATAAAGAAAATAATACAAAAAATAACAAAGGGGAACACTGTAAAATGAATTGAAAATATAAATATGTTATGAATATGAATAGAGGGAGGGACTCACCATGAGTTCTCATGTGATCTCTCAGGAGTCTTTCTGTTGCAAAGCGTTTGGAGCAGTGAGAACACTGGAACCTCTGGCCTACAGCACACAGAGCATGAATTACTACATGAAAATGTTTGAACACAAAGGTAATATAATATTGTTATTTATCTTTCTCTTATAATGCTGAATAATTTGTGGGGGGTTTTATTACCTTCCATGGCGCTCTGTCGAATAATGTGGTCAAAGAGCTTGGTGTTGTTAGCGTACATCCCCCCACAGCCTGGACATGCCACTATCTTCTCCTGCGTGTGGCTGCGTAGGTGCTCCCGCAGTTTAGGACGCCCTTTAGCAGTGGCTTCACAATCTGGGGAGTGACAGGCTCAGTATTTGGACTCAACAATATTACATTGTTACAAAATAGCAGAAATGTACTTTTAAAATGTCTACCTTTCCATTTGCAGCGTAAGGGGATTTCACAGTCTCCTGCTGGTAGGTCTATGCACAGGCTGTGCATCTCCACATGTCGATAGAACCACTCTGGGTTTTCATATGGTGGTTGCTGAAACAAATATGCACAGAGAACATGTATATAATTGAAGACCAAAAAAGCTGTAGAGAGAAGTCTTATCTCCCTGCATCCCATTCCCATCGGCTGACATAAACTAAGTACTTCAGCTTCCATACTCAACAGACACCTGTATGAGAGGAGCAGGTTAAACACACAAAACACTTTCAAGTTATCTTGCCATGCTCAATCAGCTTACCTCACATTCATCCCAGAGGCAAATGAAATTGTCCGGGATTTCAGGGATGATGTTGCGGTTTTGACACCCGATGGAACAGGTGCCGATCTTGGGCTGGGCATCGAGTACATGCTGACCCAACTGCTTCAGCTTAGTGTGATAACAGTGAAAGTACAGATGTCTTCGTAACTCCTCAGGACCCTCCACAGAGCAGAAACCACACTCTCTCCAAAGGCAGTTTCTCTCCCCTGGGCACAAAAAACAAAAACAAAGATTGAGCCATTAGTAGACATCAGCCTGGGGCGGCAGTAGCTCAGTCTGTTGGGACTTGGGTTGGGAACTGGAGGGTTGCCGGTTCAAGTCCTGGTGCGGACCAAATATGTAAGCTGGTCTGGTAGCTGGAGAGGTGCCAGACTGCTTTCTACCCACCACCAGAGCGGCTCCGTCACTCTAACATCTCTCTATTAGCGCATATAGGATCCTGTTTGTGCATGTGTGTGTTACATGACTTACAGAGTCATAACCCTCCCCTTGCAGGTTCAATAAAGTAAATCTTAATCTTTTGAGAGAGAGGCGTTTAGGATTCAACACAGCACATTATATAGTATATTAGATGCATGGAGTTTAATCATTCTGCCTGGTTTTGAGCAAGTGATCACTGTGAGAGCAAGATCAGTTAACTTGCTGGTTAAAGGCAGTAAATTGTTTGCCAAAAAAATAAATATCTTGACGCTGCTGTTAATTAATTTCCATACTGTGCGTTACAGTAGCTCGTAGCTCAAATTAAAAGGTCACATCGCTTACGGCCTGCATCCTTTGTACAAATATCTAAAGTATGACTGAGTTAGAATCAACTACGGCTCTGATTATCGCCAGAAAATATGCCAGACATACAGCGGAATCGAAATTGCGTTTGTCTCCGTCCCATGGTGCGATACAACCAAAATAAGGTAAAATAAGATAAAATAATATTTACAGTAATAAATTCTAAATTGTGCAAAAGGTACAAAACAAAATGGTAAATAAAATAAAATGGTAAATAAAATAAAACAAAATGGTAAATAAAATAAAATGGCAAATGAAATAAAACAAAATGGTAAATAAAATAAGATGGTAAATAAAATAAAACAAAATGATAAATAAAATAAAATAAAATGGTAAATAAAATAAGATGGTAAATGAAATAAAACAAAATGGTAAATAAAATAAAATAAAATGGCAAATAAAATAAAATGGCAAATAAAATAAAACAAATTGGTAAATAAAATAAAATGGTAAATAAAATAAAACAAATTGGTAAATAAAATAAAATAAAATGGTAAATAAAATAAGATGGTAAATGAAATAAAACAAAATGGTAAATAAAATAAAATAAAATGGCAAATAAAATAAAATGGCAAATAAAATAAAACAAATTGGTAAATAAAATAAAATGGTAAATAAAATAAAACAAATTGGTAAATAAAATAAAATAAAATGGTAAATAAAATAAGACAAATTGGTAAATAAAATAAAACAAATTGGTAAATAAAATAAAATGGTAAATAAAATAAAACAAATTGGTAAATAAAATAAAATAAAATGGTAAATAAAATAAGACAAATTGGTAAATAAAATAAAACAAATTGGTAAATAAAATAAAATGGTAAACAAAATAAAACAAATTGGTAAATAAAATAAAATAAAATGGTAAATAAAATAAGACAAATTGGTAAATAAAATAAAATAAAATGGTAAATAAAATAAGACAAAAAGTAAACTTGTGAAATATGTGCAATGTGCAGTAAACTGAGTGTACTTTTGAATAGATAATTTACCGGTAATTAAAAAATAAAACTGCGTACCCTCTGCTTCATCCGGGTCCTCCTCCTCCTCCTCACTGGTCGGGTTAAGGTGACCCTCTGCGTGCCTACAGAAGTTATCCACGTCACTGAACGACTCCTTACACGAGCTCCATTCACACACAAGTTTAAGAGCTTTCTTCCGGATCCGTTTGTTTGGAGGCATTTTTAGTGAGGCCGGAGTTTTCACAGACAAACTGAACCTACAGATGCCCCCTCGCTCTGAACATGGCCTGTCCTGCACCCGTTGCTAGCTAACACCTGCTGGATGGTAACCGTCTCCAAGGTAAATGTTCACGAGCTGTGAAAGGACTCAAGAAACATTTTCCTGAAACGACTTAACAAACAAAACAACAAAAAAAGATTAAAGTCAATAAATTATAACTAGATTATGAACTTCAATGCATTAACTCGCTGTTACGAAGGAATGAAAAAATGTAAACAGTGAAGTCGTGGCTGTGTTCAGACCGTTCAGACGAACGCGGGTTGTGTGCATCGTTGATCATGTCCACCCAGAAACAAGTATTCTTTATATTAGTTCCGGATGTGATATAGTCCACCTCAAAATGTTTTTGTTGACTTCAGTTTTTTTCTAGAAGCGAGATTATGCTTAACTGCAATTTTGAAGTGGAGTACTAGTGCTTAACTTCTGTATTTTTATTACGGTTTTCTCAGTGGTTCCCAGAGAGGGAGTCAGCACCGCCGGAGGGGCTTCGCTAGAAGACTTCAATTTTACAACTTTAAACAATAATTCAATGTTTTTTTAAGCATTATTTTAAAACAATAAACCAAAAACGAGTTAATTTAAAATAAAACCAAATTATTAAGTAAAATGAAAATGAAATTTATGTTTAAAAACATTTAAAATGTAAGTTTACATATGACAGCAACAATGTACCTGTGTTACACATAAAGATGCACACAGCTGTGTGTAGTATCTAAGATTTGTATGTCCACTCTATACATGGAAATATCTTTCTTACAATAAATTACTATATAAAAATAATTGTATGAGTTTTATGATGTTGTATTCTTTTGTGTTATCAGTGTTTGGACAGGCTCATTATTCTGCATGCGTGGATTTCCAATACATTAATTGCTATGACCACGTCCAGGGACAGTGGGGGTCTCCGGGCTCTGGAGGCCTTTTTTCAGGGTCTAACGCTGAGAAGTTTGGGAAACTCCAGTACTACCTTATACGTTACACTGCCCCACTACATTTTAATGTCAATATGATGAAATTTACTCCACAAGCTTTCATTCTAAAATGTACAAGTGACAGAAAAGGATTTATAATGGCATTAAATAAAAAGTAAATGTTAAATTCTATATAATTCATGAAAGGCAGGTGGATGTTACGTTCGTGACACTGAAAATGTGAGTCCTTTTTTGTTGTATTATATGTTGATAAGGGGCCCACTGAATGTAGTCATCAATTTTCTTTGTGTTTAGTAATAGCTTATGCACTTTTGGAGTGCAATTTCAAAAGAGTTAAGCTGACTTATAGCAATAGATCTGTGATACTCCAACATGATAATTATTAAACATTTCCTTTTGGTACTTGTGGTGGATAAATACTCAATAACTTGGGGTGATACATTCATGTCGTATTTCTACCTCTAATTAAGGCTCTGAACAAATCTTCGACCACTGCGAATTATAATGCTGGCACACAATTTATATTACAATTTCTCATCTTTTATTTCTCAATTCTCAACAGTAAAGCTTCTCACTCGTCTTCACATTCCTTTACAAAGTAGTCCAGTGCCAGTTAACTTCACATAGATTTGTTTTGAGGAGGAGATAGCATATCAGGCATGAAAATATAGATATGTACCCAAAGCTACCAAGAACGGTATCAACAATCAATTCTCAGTCTTGTGGCCGGGACAGACTTCATTTAATAAAAGAACTTAAGTAACTTTTAAAACCACCACGGGGACTAATAATCTCACTTTATCGTCTCTATTTTTCTGTCCCCGACTAACTCCTTATGATCGTCATCAGGCTGATAATAACCTCTTACTGCTTTTCTTCACAATCACCATTGTGTGCATTTGTTCAGAGGTAAAAAAATTAAGAGGTAAAACATTTGAAAAAAGAAAAAAGTACAACAAAGATGATACTAACTTTCCCACCCATGTTGCATGTACTGGTTGTTATGAAAATTGCAGTGTCAGTGGGAACATTTTCTTTAAGCCATTTTAATTTCAACAGCAAGATCCAAGCAATAGCTCCCTATGGGAATATCTGTATGGTTTTTGGAGAACTTCCCCATCCATAAACCAGTTATCAAATGGTAACAATTAAGTAGCAGTACGCTTCGGATTCTGGCTCCTCAACTTGCTGGACTTTCTTGTAAAAAACAAGTATGAAAATATACTTTCAGGGGGAGCGCATTAAAGGCCCAGTCTTAATTTCCTCTTTGATTTGTTGTCACTAAAACCAGGAGAATAGCAAACATCTCTGAAGCTGCAGCTTGATCCTTAGTTTTTCATGCTTATATGTGAAAAGGTTGTTATACTGAAATATAGCGTTAAACCTCGCTCTGAGTCTTTACTGCAGGTCAAGTCTGAGGCAGAAAAGTACCAGTGAGGTAATAAAATCTATTAAAAAGGCAGATGAAACATAAGCCTTCATAACAAAACAAAAAAAAATCATAGTTTTTCAGTCAGGGCTCTCTCCTCTTTCCCCGGGAGATGTCTACACGTCGTAGAAGAGACGCACCAGATGATAACGGATCCCGAAAGCCGCCACACTGCCCATCACCTGAGAGACGTACAAGAACGAGCATTCAAGTTCAATACTTTCTCACTGACTCGCTCTGTATTCGATAGAGAGGAAGGTGGTTTTTTTTTGGAAATACCTGGATGATAAGCATGATGGCTGTGAGGTTTCTCTCATGAGTGGGGCCGAGTAATTTCAGAACCAGATTTATTAAAGTCATGTTGTTGCATTCAATAAACTCATCGTCTCCCTCCTGGGCGCGCCGCACCTCCAGCAGCTTTAATAACTCTGCCACCTGTCGAGGAAAAAAAAAAAAAAGCAATTTTATTGTCAAAGCTGGAGGCCGGCCCTTTGTCTACCTCATGTGTGTGTGTTTATCCACCCAGACCAACCCTCAAAAATGCCCTCTTCTACCAGGCAGCCTTGTTCATTTTTGCACATTTCTACACATTTTTGAGCCATTAAAACTGTAATATGATGTTGTTAGAAATTCTGATTAGGGCTGGGTAAAGGTATTTTATACAGCAAAATATTGTCATCCCGACTTGTGTGATATAATCAGCAAAATGACTGGAGCTGTGAACAGTGGGATCAATGTTGTCATTGTTTTGTCTTTGGGTTTTTGTGTGTGCAATTTTCAGATGTTTTTAAAAAAAGACAAAAATGGAGAAGCGATCGCTAAAGGCTTCACCTGCAGAACGAGGTGTCCTAATTTAGAAAGGTCCTTCCTTTTGAATTTAGAGTAGCTCATCCACAGCTTGCCCGTCCCTGGATTCAGCCTGTCATCAGCAGTGACATTTGGAGAAAGACAAAAGGAAGAAAGGCAGCCGTTGAGAGAACATAATTAAGAGTGAATGATGAATTAAAAGATATGACAAGACACTAAACTCCACAGTATCTCACCTGGGGAGCCGATGTCTCGGGCAGGGAACGACGTGAAAAAGCTGAGGCAATGAGTAGACAAAGTTAATCACTTGGGGAATGAAGAACAGTAGCATTGTTTTACTGAAGTGACCCAAGATGCCGACTACAGCGAACGTCATCCCGGCAAAGTAGCAGAAAGTGTCTCCCACAAACACAGACGAGGGGTACCTGGGATAAAAACAGGTTCCACATTCGGTTACACCGACAGCATCACAAAGATTCTCTCAAACAGCCTCGGGTTTTCAGGTTGAACTCACCAGTTGTGGTAAAAAAGCGCTAATGTAGTGAAGAAGAAAGGTATCATGAAGTAGAGTGAGAACACATGGTCGTCACGGAAATCTCCTGATAAATAAGAAAACACATCAAACCAAGCGTTACTATTCTGACTTGTTATAAATCAATATTCAGCAACACGGTCAGATCCTGCCGTGTGGTGGATGTGATCAGTCATCACACACCGCCGAGCTCAACAAGGTTGAAGATGATGATGGAGCCGGAGATGAACAGCGCTTGACCCGACTCGATGCCATTGATGCCGGCAAGGATGTTTATGGCATTTGTGCAGAATACTGCGAGCATTCCCATATAAACGTAGTAGAGAATACCTGCAGACAATCAGAAATGATGTCATTATTACAAAATGAACAAAAAAAGCAGCAATATTTACTTTCCCACATCAAATATTTAAATCCCTCAAATGTAATGTAATTTTTTTAACGGCTACCTGATTCAAATATAATATTTGATTACCTTTTTTTGAACATTGTGCAATATTGTGATAACAATAAGAAGTGCAATAAATAACAACTATTAAGGAGTTCATACTTGCTGTTACTCTGTTTCTATGCCTGCCTGCTGCTCTTCATATTGTGCACTACATTTGTGTTTGAAACATCGCCCTTACTAAATCCATAATCAATCCAAAAAGCATTTTTTTTAATGAACCAATGTATCAGAGGGTAGCAGATAGCTAGCTCGAGCTTCATCTAACGTCATTAAAAAGTATATTACAGCAATATTACCAAGGCCTCCATCAAATAGTTAATATGTTAAAATGTATACATGCTAAGTGAGACAAAGAGACTTTCTTCTTCACTGCAGTAAATCCAGACTCTTACAATGTGTCTTTTTTTAATATTCATATCCCAATAAGATGAAACTGTGATTTCCATTTTCTACAAGCATCTAGAACAGAAAAGCTGTTTTTCAAAGTAAAAGACAACAGCTAGACGTATATGTCAACCAGTTTCAGCCACTATGAGTTAAAATGAGCTTATACATGGCATCAACTCACCCAGGTCCAGGTGAAGCCCGAGCAGGACTCTGAAGGGCTTGGGAACTACAATGACCGTGTTTCCGAAGTTCGTAAAATAGACCATGAGCAGGGGCAGGGACGCCATGGTGGGAAGAAGGAGCTTGTGTCTCCACTGCAGGTTCAGGACATCGTCAGCAAAGCCCAGGAAGATCATGCAGCAGATGGCCAGGAGTGCTCCGATCAGCTGCACAAACTGAACAACAAACAACAAACAACAGATTACAAAGCTGCGTTCCAGATTTGAGACAAAACACACAAAGTCTGAAGTGGACTTAACCTCATTGTGAGGGAATCCTGTGCACTGATCTCCAACGAAGCAGCTGAGGAAAGGCACTGGGATGAAGCAGAAGAGGATGATGAGGAAGACCGTCCCACTGATGACTCCCTGGGACTCTGGACTGCAAAGAGGGGGGGGGAAGAGGGGAAGGGGGGGGGACCAGGAAGATAAACAAAGCAGGAATAAGAACAGGAAAAACACAAAACTGGACACATTTACTAAGGACATTATCAAACACAGATTCACGATATTGGCTAAAACAGAAAGATTAACAACAA